TGTTCCAGAGCAGACGTCTTTAATAGCAAGGAACTCACAATGGTAGAAAAGAGGATGCTAATGAAATTTCTCACATTTTGTTTAGACTATGAACATCATCCTGATGAATATGAAGCTTTCAAGCAATATTCATTTTCAGAGTACTTAAAAACTAAAAAATTAACTCCTAACCTCCAGCATTTTGTACTGCACTCAATTGCAATGGCATCAGAATCATCTTGCACTACAGTTGATGGCCTTAAAGCAACAAAAAACTTCCGTCAGTGTCTTGGACAGTTTGGTAACACTCCTTTTTTATTTCCTTTATATGGCCAAGGAGAAATTCCCCAGTGTTTCTGCAGGATGTGTGCAGTTTTTGGTGGAATTTATTGTCTTTGCCATAAAGTACAATGTTTTGTAGTTGACAAAGAATCTGGAAGATGTAAAGCAATCATAGATCACTTTGGTCAAAGAATAAATGCTAAATATTTTATTGTAGAGGATGGTTACCTTTCTGAGGACACCTGCTCAAATGTGCAGTATAAGCAGATCTCTAGGGCAGTGCTCATTACAGAGCAGTCTGTGCTAAAGACAGATTCAGATCAGCAGATTTCCATTTTGATAGTGCCTCCAGCAGAACCAGGAGCTTGTGCCGTTCAGGTCACAGAATTATGTTCTTCAACCATGACATGCATGAAAGACACTTATCTGATACATCTGACATGTTCCTCTTCTAAAACAGCAAGAGAAGACTTAGAATCAGTGGTGAAGAAATTATTCACACCCTATGCTGAAGCAGAAATAGACAAGGAAGAACTTACAAAACCAAGAGTCTTGTGGGCTCTTTATTTTAATATGAGAGATTCCTCAGGAATCAGCCGAAGCTCATATGACAGTTTACCTTCCAATGTGTATGTCTGCTCTGGGCCTGATGGTGGCCTGGGAAACGAGCACGCAGTTAAGCAAGCCGAAACACTTTTCCGGGAGATCTTTCCAAATGAAGAGTTCTGCCCCCCACCTCCAAATCCAGAGGACATTATCTTTGAAGGTGATGATAAGCAATCAGACACCCCTGGAACCAGTAATATAATAATGGCCAAGCTAGAATCCTCCGAGGAAAGCAAAAACCAAGAAAGCCCAGAGAAGCACCTTCAAAATTAGAAAAAAACGAAACGGAAATGCTACTTTGGGCTTCATCGCTGCAGTCTGAATATTCTCATTTAAAGGCACAGTACTCCCCGTATCATCGACTAATTAGCAGTGTTGTTGATGAATGTCTATGCAGATGTTGTCTTTAACTCTCTTTGACATTCAGCATTGGATTCTTTGTTAACCATGTCGGTTCTCTAAAAATATATGAAATTTGGGAGCAATACATAATAGTTTTCGGAGCCAATAAGGACCCATGATCCACAACTTACAAATCAAGAAATAAGCTATTTATTTATATTGGTAATATATGTGAGCATCTCATATAAGCAACTTGCTTAAAGGAAGAAATACATGTAATAAATCTAGCTTAGTCTTCCGATATTATATCGGATCTACAGATAATTAATATCACATAGGAATATTAATACTTTTTCAACTATCTAGAATTGCACCACCTCTGAATAGTGAAACAACACAAATAGTAATTATGTGTGGTCTCTGTATATAACGATAAACATGTAGACAGGTGGTTAGGAAAGCAACTAATAACAATGCCAATAATAGAAATAACATTTATGATAAAATTGTTAAAGACAAACAAAAAAAAAGCAAGAGAGAAGACACGATAAAGTCACAAACATATAAACGCCAACCATCTCCTAAACATCAGAAATGCAACCAATCAACTGCCAGAGACCTAATCACCTTATCCTCCCTCCGCCGTAAAGCAAGGCCAGTGGTTAAAAAAAGTCCCATAACAATCAAATGTTTGCATGGATCAGACAGATAGAACACCTACACTGCTGGTGGGACTCCAAACTGGTTCAGTCTGTGGAAAACAATATGGAGGGATACCTTAAAGCGAATACAGTAAGTAGATCTAATATTTGATCCAGCCAATTCCACCTAGCCATCTACCCAAAGATCAACATGACACTCGTACAAATGGACCACCCGTACAGCCCAATTGTAGTTAATAGCAGCAAGTCACAAGTATCCCAGGATGAAGCGTACTACGACACCATGACTACGCATAGATTGGAAACACCCAGGTCCCAACAGGCAATCAACAAAACTATGATGGTTCAAAATGTGTATACGTAGACTGTGCTCACCACCATAAAACCGGAGTAAAATAAAAAAATTCCGAACTTAAGTAAACAATGGTGAATAAGCACGCGCATTCCCTTTTATATTCCTGGATAGAGCTGGCGTGCCATTCTATAAGTTGTAAGTACCCTCAAGAAAGTGAATCAAGCACCCATGCTACATCAGCCCAGCAAATTGGTAAACGATGAACACTTAATTGGTACAATATAAGGAACATTTATCGTTTTACCGTGTTGGTGATCGTGGCGAGAGGGAGGTGGGAGGTGGAGCATGGAAAATACAGATAACCTTATTTGTCCCCCATAGATATATCCTGAAATAAAAAAGAAAACGCTGGAGGGCCAAACATTCCTTGATTCAAACATTAATCTTCAATTAAGCTGTGATAATGGGCAAGATGCATAGTAACAAACCGGTGTTGTAATCGGACAAAGACATAGACAATGAAATAGACGCCTCCTAACATTCGGTATAATTGTACCCTGATTAAACCCGCACATTAGGGTTGGATATTAAGAGAATAATCCAGAAATAAACCTCCACAATAGTGTCAAATACCACCTAAACCACCTTATTCTTTTGTCACCTCGGGGGATAAGCAGTATTTTGCCAACAATCACCTTTTGGCAAAACCAAAGGATATCCACAGGCAATGAACCAACTGTGAACATATACCCTTTACCAATAGCATAACCTTCTACATACTTGGTATTTCAATGGCATAAGACCTTATATAAGGCCTAAAACTATAAAACACCTTGAAGAAAATATAAGGGAAATGCTTCGTATCACTGGACTTTGCAATGGTTTCTTGCATATGTCACCAAAAAACACGGTCAACAAAAGCAAAAATAGAAAAATGAGACATTGTATTTAAAAACTTCTGCCATTAATTTGTATACTAATCAGCCAAGAGTGACTAGAACATATGATACGAGAAAATATTGGTTCAGATCATGTATCCCTTGATAAGGGTTACAATATAAGCCGACCATAATAGGGTAAAAATCCTAAAAACCAACAAGAAACAAAAGATCAATAACCCAAATTCAGTGGAAACATGACAGCTAAGAAACATATTCCCTAAAGAAGATAAGATCCAAATGGATCTAAACAAAGATATATCGAAAATAAGGTTCTCAACATACTAATCCTTAGAGAATGCAATCAAAACTCCAATGAGATTAACAAGTAGCCCTCACACTAATTAGGTGCCTACTATCAACAGAAAAACTGTAACAGATAACAACTATTGGCAGATTTGGAGAAAGTGGTACACTGTGCTTAAATGGTGCAGCCACTTAACAATTAAGCTACTGGAGTATCCATCAAATAATTAAATTAAGATCAATTATTACGAATCAGCAATCCACGATTACTTCAGATATTAGATAAGCAAACAAGAATTGATATGACGGATCTCAAGGAGTAATTTGCACGCCCCATGTTTTCATAATAGCATTATTGCCAAAAGCCCAGATGTCCCATCAACAGAAAATTGGATAAGCAAAATGTGGCGTATATAAACAATTCAGTCTTAAAAGAAAGGTAATCCAGCTTGTCTTTGTTTCTTCTGATGTGGCCGTCTAGAGACGGAAATCAGAGACATTTCCTATTACAAGAATTCAGGTATCCACCTGGGTGGGGCTATCGGCACCCCGGTGGAAGGGCACCCCACCACTGTTGGAAGAGACAGGGAGCAGCCCCGGGTCAAAACCTGGGTCTTGGTGGGTAGGAGCAACTTCTTTTCGAGATGAGAGAGAAGCAGCTGCCTGAGCCTTTTTAGCTCCAGGGAACTCCCATCTCTGTCTCCCTAAAGTGGATATGGCTCCCCACACCCTGAACTGAGTTGAGGAGAAGAAAATGGATTTGGAAAAGTCCGGACAGCCTCAGCCATTTGTTTGTTGAATCGCTCAAAGGAACTGTCCAGGTGGAGGTCACGAGATTGTCTTAGCCAAAGACAGGATGGATCAGAACCTTTAAAAAGCTCTGTACTTCTGCTCAGAAGCAGGATGTTGGTACTTTCAGATGGGAGTCCGCCAACCTCCTCATTTTCTGGCAAATTAATAAACTCTTCTTTCCTTCCTTTAAAAAAAAATAAAAAGAAAGGTAATCCTGCCACACGCTACCACATGGATGAACCTTAAAAAATGTTATGTTAAGTGAGATAAGCCAGTCAAAAAAAGGCAAATTCTGTATAATTCTTTTACAAGGCACCTAAGCAGTTAAATTCATAGAAACAGAAAACAGAAAAGTAGTTACTGAGGGCTGAAGAGAGGATAAAAGAAGAGTTGTTTAATGTGTATAGAGGTTGAGATTTGCAAGATAAAAAAGTTATTGATACATTAAGATCAAACGTAAAAAAGGAAAATAAAAAAAAAAAAAGTTATTGAATTCTGTTTCACAATAATGTGAATGTGCTTGATAGTACTGAATTGTACACTTAAAAATGGCTAAGATGTCTTCATAGACATGGATGAATAATTTTAAAAGGAAAAATATTGTTAAGATTATAAGTTTATGTTTTATAAAATATAATATAAATTTTAAATGTTAATTTCTGATGGTGAATTAAAGTATATTTCATTTTACTTCACACATTTTTGCATTGTCTGAATTTATTTCAGTTAACATTATAAGAAAAAAATAAGTTGTTCATTTGAGAAACAACTATAAGAAAAATAATAATAAAAAAATTAAAAAAAAGCAAACTCCGAAGCAAAGACGCTGATGAATTTGTCATGAGTTGGATGTCTAACTGAATCAATGAGCTCTGGCCCCAGATCCTCTCACTGTGACCAAGTTTTCTCAAAGAAGAAGGATTTACTACAAGCCAGGCAGCCACTGAGATTTTTGTATTATGCAATTTCAATGAGTTTATCAAAATCCTGAAGGCAATCCTTTGGTCTCTAGGTTGAAATCAGGATTTCTAATTATACCTACACATTACAAATATATGGAAGCCTAAAAAAAATCCTCCGCGGCCGGGCGTGGTGGCTCACGCTGTAATACCCAGCACTCTGGGAGGCAAGGCGGGCAGATTGCTTGAGGTCAGGAGTTTTGAAACAGCCTGCAGGCAAGAGCACTCCATCTCTACTAAAAATAGAAAGAAATTAATGGCCAACGAAAGCATATATAGAAAAATTACCCAGCATGGTGGCAACATGCCTGCAGTCCCAGCTACTCAGGAGATGAGGCAGAAGATCGCTTGAGCCCAGAGTGTTGAGGTTGCGTGAGCTAGGCGATGCCATGGCACTCTAGCCAGAACTAAGTAACGTGTAACAGAAGAAAAGAAAGAAGAGAGAGAGAGAGAGGAGAGAGGAGAGGGAGAGGAAGGAAGGAGGAGAGAGAAGAAGGAAGGAAGGAGGAAGGAAGGAAGAAGAAGGAAGGAAGGAAGGAGGAAGGAAGGAAGGAGGAAGAAGGAAGGAAGAAGGAAGGAAGCAGAAAAAGAAAGAAAAGATTATCTCCCACCCAGCCAGGATTGTGTAGAACAGGAGTTCTCAAACATGAGGAACACATTAAAAATGCAGATTCCTTGTTTCCAACCCAGACATTCTGATTTAGTAGGATGGGGCTCAGGAATCTGAACTTTCAGCAATCATATCTCAGGTGGTCCTGGTTAAAATGATAGAAGAGCCACTGGGCTAGAAAAAGACCTCTAAGAAAGGTTTGCTTGGTTTATCATATAGTAAGTAGTTTAGCATGCCTGGAGTTAGTACAGTTCTTAAAAAAAAAAGAGGCAAAAGAGGCCATCAGAAGTATATGTACCAAAATACTTTCAATACTTAATATTGAAAAGTATTTAGACTTTAAGAAGCTGCTCAGGCAGAGGTTATATCAACACTGCTCATAGAGAGACCACAGGATGGATGTTTTTTATTTTATTTTATTTATTATGTAAGTAGATAATTTGAGGCCACTAG